GTCCTCACCAGCCTGGGACTCAGTCACCACTGCCTACAGGGTACCATTAGGCAGAATACTTCACCAAGACTGGTCAGAGTAAAGGAACTGCTCCCACGGTAGGAAACATCACCCACAGACACAGAAAGGAAGGGGTGGGTGGTTGGAGATGCAGCTCAGTTGGTAGCATGTTTGCCTAGCACACTTCAAGCCTTGGGTTTGTGCTCTAGCACCATATAAAACTGGTGATTCCAGCATGCGGGGGATGGAGACAGAAGGATCAAGACCCAAATGTATTTAGTGGAGGCCAGCCTGGGCAATAAGACATCCTGCTTCAAAAAGCTTTAAAAGTACAAAGAATAAAATATGGGGCTGAGAAGGTAGGCTGGAGATAGGCCAACGCCCATTGGACACTCTGTCCCATTAGCATCATGACCTCATGACCCCCTCAGCAGCAGGAAACAGAGGCCTCAAATACGCTAGTGAGAAATTCATGGGCAAAGGGGGTGTGAGGCTCCATCCTGAGAAGAAGAGCCAGGAATTTTAATCTTTGCAGTTTTTTCCAAGTGAGGCAATACAGTTGTGCATGTTACAAAGGCTTAATTGTTCAACTCTCAGCCTTAAACAGTGCCTGACACAGAATGCTCAAAAATACCCGTTGACGAAATGGACAAATCCTAAATAGCATGTGCCATAATTCCGGAAACACTATTTTCCCATGTCTCATTTTTATTCTCCTGGAGGGGTAGAAATAGAGACATAATCTGGAGTTCCCCAGCCAGCCAAGGAGCCCCAGATGTCAGCCCTAAAGGTTGGTAACAGTCAGGGGTCTCCATGCTTGAGAATAGATGGTCCTGGTCAGATCACTGCTAAATGTGTCTGTAAATGCGTCGCTAGAACAAGGCTACAGCCGTACAGTTGTGCTAGGAGTCCAAAACCCACACCACTATGAACAGCAATATGTCAGGCAGGTGAGCCATGGTAACTGGACTGCTGTAGCCACAGTCCCTATATCTTTTCCGTCATCATTTTTTGGCATTGCCTTTCCTGTACCACGTGACAGCGTCTCTCTTTGCTGGACTGAGAAAGGAAGGATCATGAATCCTTGCTTTCATCTGGGAGTGGTGCTGGGAAGGCCGTGGCCAAAAGCGTTGAGGACATGAAACGAACACAGATCCCGGTCGCTCATCTCAGGAGCTGATTTGTAAAAGGGGGATTTTTTTTTTTCCTCATGGTGGTCAGTGTAGCAGGACTGATGGAGGCCTCCAGCCACCAGGGGAAGCAAAGCGCCCAAGAGCTTTTCAAAGTATCATGATTAAATTTCATTGTCAGCTTGACTGGATTTGGAACCACCTAGGAGACACCTCTGGCCATGTCTGTGAGGGCAGTTCCAGGGAGATGTAACTGAGGGAGGGAAAGCTCAGCCTGAGTGGGAGCGGCATCATCCCATGGGCTGGGGAAAGTATCAAACTGAACAGAAAGGAAAAACATAAAAAAACAAACAAGAGTGTGAGGTGAGTTCCTGTCTCTCTCTGCTAAGAAGCTGAGGCAACATGGTTGCTCACCTCACACTCCTCCGGCCTGTATCTTCCACAGCATGGTGGCCTGTAGTCTCAGGCTATGTGTGGAAATAACCCTCTCCTCTTTAAGTTTTTTGGAGTCTTTTTGTCTTGAGGTGCTTAGGGGCACAAGTATTTTATCCTAGCAACAAAAACAAAAAGCAGCTAATAATACTGGGGACTCCAGGGAGCATTAGAACATTGGAAGCTTGGGAGAGGCTGGGTAATCCTGGGCAGGCTGCCTGCATCTTTCGGCCTGAATGACAATTGTGTGAGTATAAAGATGAGGGTCACCCTAAGGCAAGGTCTCGGTTGCACAACACCCAATCACATGGGTTTCACCGCCATGACTGACAGGCTGTCCTGTCACCTCCCTGTCAGGGCTGGGCCACCTCTGTCTTTCCCACCTGCCTTCTGCCACCCCTGTGTGAGACACCATCCACCCTAACACCCTTCTTCTCCCAGGCCTCAGGGCTTACCTGGGCCTCATGGACTCAGCTGGGTACACCTGTCCCCGCCCTGCCACCTGAGAGTCTGTTTGGTCCCAGAGCAGTCTGGTTTCCTCTGAGAAAACAGAATCCGAGCAGGTCTGACAGGGGTGACAGAGGCACAGGTGTTGACTACAAGGACAGCTGAGACACAGCTCTTCACCGGCAGAAGGGCTATCAGCAAGAAGGCCACCCCAGCACCTGTGCTCCAGATCAACCGCCAGAAACTGCGTGAGCTTGGGGCGGCCCCTCACACGTACACCCAGAATCTGTTTCTTGAAGAGGTTTGTTTCGGCTTTTCTATCAGCCCTGGCTGATAGGAACCTGGCTCGGGGACAGCATCTAGGCCCCTGTTGGCAAAATCAGTTTCATTCCTGCTTGGCCCCTGGGAGACTTACTCCAGAGTTCCCAGCATCTCAGCCCCGCACCCTAAACCCCAGCCTCTTAAGTCCTGATGACTGGGTCTAGGCTAGACACACGGCCGGCATTTCCCAAGTTGTTGTTGAGGGATTGAATGTCACAAAACTGGAGCTGGAAAAGAAAAGTCCCTTTGCCACAGCCACTCCCTCTTCTGTGTTCTGTGGAACCAAACACAGCTTAAAGGCCAGCTGAGCTGAACTCTTGATAGAGTTTTGTACTCCCTGGACATGCTGGGCATAGTTTCCAACTCACCTTACAGGCTGTGCCACTGCAGCCCTCCTTCCTTTTTCATGTTCCTTTTCTTTTTCCTAGCCCATGACTCTACCCTTTGCAGAGTCCCCAGACCCTGCCTAGGGCCTGACTTGGCTCCCTATCACCTCTAATCCCTCAGGAGGTCCAAACAACCCTCCCCATGGCCTCCTGTCCTGTGCACATAGACTCACCAGCACCTGACCTCAATCACAGGTTATTGAGAGAGTGGGTGGTCAGAGGTAATACAGCCTGGAGCTGGGCCAGATAGGACACAGAGATAGAGCTTTTTCATTTCTCTCCTCTGGTTGCTGTCTGGGATCCTGCTGTGGTCAGAACTGTGGACTGGGCATAACAGGAGAGAGGACAAGCCAGCAAGGATGCAGGTCTCCAGTGAGGCTAGCGGCTGGGGGAAGAGAGCTGGGTCTTGAAGGAGGAACATATTGGCTCCAAAGAGCTGAGCATAAATACACCAGAGGTCACTGGGCCACAGCAGCTCTTAGTGCTCTGGCCAGCACCGTGGCCTCCCGAGAAGGTACTTTTAAGTATGAGCTGGCCCGACAACTTTACTCTACCCTGGACAGTCTGAGCTGAGCATTTCCTCAGCCTGAAGTCGCTCATGCCGCACCCTCCCCTTCACCCTAGACTCAGGCCCAAGGGCATATCTCAAGGGCATCTGTTCCTGCTGGAGCTTGCCAACTCTACCAACCCATCAAGGAAAGAGCACTGTGGTTTCCTCTGGCCTTGAGAAGCCTTGGTTACCTGTAGAGGGCCTGGGCATCATGCCCTGAGCCACTTGGGGCTCCCTTGAAGGACAAGAACAGTAAGTGTGGTCGCTAAGGCAGCAGGAGTAGAAGTCTTCATTCTTCTAAGCCCTCCTCACACCCTCCTTGTGTCTTTCTGAATCTTGGCCAAGGTCTAAGCTAAGATAATGACTCCCATAACAATTATCACATTGTTAATAGCCAGGTTCTCTGTTGAGTGCTGGAGAAAGTGAGATAGACACAGTTCTTGCCCTCATGGGTGCCTCAACCCTAGACCTTGGCAGCCCCAAGCCTTGGCCCATGGAGGCCACTCAATATACTTTTGTTGGAAGAATGAGAAGTGCATGGAAGAGCAGTCTGGCTACACTCAGCACGCCTGAGGACACATGAAGACCACTGTTGAGACACGACCAGCCACCACCCATCCCCACCTTAAGGAAGTCTCTGCCTTGTGACTTGTTCTCCCACCCCACAGGGATTCAGCAACACTGCAATCTTCCAGGACCAAAGCCCTCAAGGCAGGAAGGAAGCTACAAGCCTTCATGGGTGTTTGAGAAGTGTCTGAGAAGCCATAGGACCTGACAATTTAGTAGACCTGCTGCTCCAACCTCACGTCAACTCAGCAATAGCCTCCAGCAGCACAGCCTACCCCGGCCTCTCTCCTCTGGGAAAACACTTTTAGAGGTGGGCCTAAGAGATTATCTTAGGTAGGAATGTCACCCATGTAGACTGTGACAGCCATGGACCTGGATATTGTGCATCCATCTAAGCTGCCCAGGCCCTGCACAATGTGCATACAGCAGATTCTAGAACAATCACCCTCATCTCCAGTCCTGTGAGAGAAGCTTCTGAAGAAAGATACCATCAAGGTCATATTCAGAAAGACTATGACCCATCCCTCCCCAGCAGAAGGCAATGATGGGGTTTCAGGATGGGAAGATGGCAGGTCTTGGAGATGTATAAATCAATAGAGAGAAATGGTGAAAAGGATGCCTGGAGAAAAGTTCCCAGAATCCACTGTGAGGTGCATTGGGAGGGAACTTCCACAGATTCCTGAAGACCTACCTGCTCTTCTCCCCCTCCCCAACTCCCACCCCCAGCAAGGTTCATCACTGTCACATTTGCTGTGGGTCTTAGGAGTCCAGATGAGGGGGTGTCTGACCATGGCCCACGCTGTACATTCAACCCTTAGGACAAACAGTGGTTAATGGTGGTTGAACCCATTCTAGGATCTAATTGCTGGAAGCTTCTGGTCTGCAGCCCCCAGGGACCATGCAGAGGCCTACTATTCTGCTGGCCCCTCCCATACGGGGCCGTCTATGTGGGGCCCATGTTTGCATGAGGCCAAGCACAAACCTCCTCTGCCACACAGTACTGTGAGCCCAATGTCTATTCTCTGTGAGTCCTCCTCACTCTATACACACTCAAACACGCGTCAGTGTCACACTCACAATCCATCTCTCTCCTCTCCCTGCTGAGGAGGGAGCAGCACCCTCCCTACCGGGAAGATACCTTTGGATGGGGGGGGGGCTACTTTGTACCTCTCAAGTCTTCCTTTTCCTCGCCACCGCCACCGGGGAGACATCTGGATGGGAGACATCTGGATGGGCGTCCTGCGTTGCAGCTTTCCAGTAGTCCTTCTTTCTGCCAGGTGTTGGAGATCAAGTGGTCTCTCCCCATCTCACACCCCAGTGAGCCTCCTAACAACAGGGCCCTTACCGTCAGCCAAGAGGAAGCACAGGATTGCCAAGAATATTGACTAAACTAGGAGCCTCCTCCGGGTCTGGAGAAGCAGTTGACGGCTGATGTGATCGTGCTGAGATACCCAGAGAGTGGTCTAGACAAGCCATGGCTCCTTTAACGGGTGTTAAGGGATATCCCTGGAGTACAGCGGTCGGAAGGGAAGATGCTGTGGAGAGAAGGGCCCTGGGGGAAGCGCTCCAAATATTTCCACTCCTCCGGGGGGAGACTGCGCCAGCCACTCTCCTTTTCAGAAAGCTAAGAGATACAACACTCCTGGTGGAGAAGAGAAGCCCCGAGAAACGGGGATGCCTGGAAAAAAATCGTGCACCTTGCTTCTAGACGCCAGACAGGGGTCAACTCCTCTAGGAAATCTGCTTGGCCTTTGCAAACTAGTTTGGGCACCTTTCTGTTTCTGCTCCACCCACACCTACCCCCAGACCGGGGGGGGGGGGGGGGTAAAAGACCCGCGGCCTGGTGCTATCCTGTCTGTGTTGGTAGTCCAGGGCTCTTCGGGCTCAAGGCTCCATCTGCGGTGGTGTTCAAAGGGCTCGGTATGCTGAGAGGTGGGGAGGCAGGTCGGCCCGCCAGAACCTGGAAGTGGTTTGGGAACAAGGCGGGGGCCCCTCCCCCATCAGAGCCACCGCAGCTCGGCATCCCTCCCCGGGCTAGAGCACCGGCCCGTAAAAGAGACTTCAAAGGGCCGTGCCTAGTGTCTGAGCTTCCACAGCCGGCTCGATTCCGCAGCTAGGCGGGACCCAGACATCCGAGAGGACCCTATTCTAGGGGGCTTCAGTGAGCGAGTAGGGGGTGCGGGGTTTAGCCCGAGAAAGTGAGGGGCGGATCCTCGGAGCCCCCAAAGTGGGAGGGTCGGGAGTCTGAGGGGCCAATCGGTGTGCGCGCGGGGCGCGGGCACGGACGGAGGGGGGTTCGGGGGCGGGCAGCCCGGGGGCGGGGCGCAGCGGCCAGGCGGCGGCAACGGCAGCGGCGGCGGCGGCGGCGACTCCTCCGTGTCCGGCTCCAGCTCTGGCTGCAGCTCCGGCCCGCGATGTCCCACTCGGTGACCCTGCGCGGCCCTTCACCCTGGGGTTTCCGCCTGGTGGGCGGCAGGGACTTCAGCGCGCCCCTCACCATCTCGCGGGTGAGTCCGACCCCCGCGGGGCAGCGGGGTGGTCCCGGGGGCCGAGACTTTGTCCTCGTAGTAGACCCAGGACCCAGATCCTCGACGTGTCCGAAGCTTGAAAGCAGAAAGGTGGGTCTGGGCGACCCGCATGCTGTGGACGAGAGTTTCAGCAGGGCAGCGCGACCCCACCTCCTTTCCCTCCCAGCCTGCCTGCCTGCCTGCCTGCCTGCCCCGTTTGGTGGTGAGACTCCCCAAGAGTTCACACACCAGCTCCCCGCTGCTGAGTTTCTTTAGGGGAAGTCACTCTGGGCCAGGGAAGAACTCTCAGACATTGGCTAGGAGTCTGGACAGCGCTACAGAGGCCCAGAAACTTCTCAGACCCAACCCTGCCTGAAGTTTTGGGACAAAGTATGAAAGCCCACTTCCCCTGGGGTGGTCCTCAGAGGGTCTGCTGTCCCGGAGAAGTTCTCCCACTTCCCCACTCTGAACTTCAGTTTCTCCTCTCTGACCTCAGCCACTGTAGGGGAAGTGACCAAGAGGGACTGTTGGCCTCCGGGCAAGTGTCCCATATGAGACTATGAGGCATGATTTCCCTTCTTTACAAGCTAACACAAAGCCAGGGACCAGCCTCCACTCACTTCCTCGGTGGTTCCCAAGACCATACCCTGCTCCTGGACCTGGGGCAGAGGAGCAAGAGGAGGGGGCACATCCTTGGAGAGGTAGTTGGGCTGGAGATAGAGGAGAGGAGGAGTTCTGGGCCTGAGGTAGGGATTCCCCAGCTTTGGAACCTAAAGAGCCATCCAGTTCGGAGGGAGGGGACAGATATGGAATACATCCCTTCTCCTTTAGGTGAGGCTTTAGGTCTCTTTTGAGTCTTTGGGGACTTGTGTCAGGGGACCTGAGAGCCACCTTCTTCCACTCCAATGATTCCTCTGGCCCTGAAGGCTGGGCCAAGTTTTAGAGACTTCTTTTCAGTTCTTGGGAAGAGGTAGGCACTGGGTGGGTGTGGAATTGTGGAATCCTCTGTATGGGGTCCTGGGTGACAGGCAGGACCAGCTGTCCTCAGAGGCCTCCCACATCTGTCTTCACCACCAGGTCCTTGTGGCCAAGTGAGGTCTGCCTTCAGCACATCCGGAGACTTTCATCTCCCTGTTCTCCCTAGAGGTCCCTGCTGTGTGTGTGTGTGTGTGTGTGTGTGTGTGTGTGTGTGTGTGTGTGTCGGGGGTGGAGGGCAGAGCATCTATGCCTGCTTTGTGGGTCATACTGTGCATCTGCAGAGGAGAACTGAAGAAGGTGTTAGGCTAGCCAGCAAGCCAGGCACCCTGGGTGTGAGGCCGCTGACAGGCTCGGTGGCTACGGCTGGCTGCCACAGGCGGCTGAGAGTTAAGACATCTGTTGCCCACGCGGTTGCCTGTCCAACAGGGAAAGGCCTCCACACGTCAGCAGAGGCTGCCCTGGCCTTGTTTGGCACTGATGGGGGCTTGGTGGGAGGAGATGCAGGCCCCTGATGGACAGACAGTTTGGGAGAGAAAAATCCCTTTTACCCACCAAAGTAATGTGGCGGTAGCTCAGACATTAGGAGCGAGGGTGACTGAGCCTGGGTTAGGGTGGGATTTGGGAGATTTTTGGAGCTGGGGAGGCACAGGCCACAGCTTGCCCAGCAGGTACCTCGTAACACTGCAGGGACTGATGATCTGAGGGAGTGTCCTCAGTAAAGAGCTTCTAGAGTCCTTTCTGTGTCCTCTCAGAGCCCCTGTTATGTTTCCAGAGTCATCCTGGCCCAGAATCCAGTCGAAAGGGAAGAGCCTTGTGTGGACAGTGGGGCGGCTTGTATTTGCGCTGGGAGCTTACAGTCTTGGGCCAAGAAGCCTCTGGGATCCTCAAGAACAATGTACAGGGCTTCTTCCTTATAGGCAAACTGTAATGACTACTGGCCTTTCCCAAGCACCGTGGTGTACCAGGCCCCACCCTCTCCGGTGTTGGAACCAGCACCTTCCCAGCAACCAGCCCTTGGGAGGAGCGTTGCTGTATGCCTAGCCTCTTGTAGAGATGTTAGATGTCCTAGTTGCCACCAGAAGTCCCCATAACAATCCTTAGACACCCCCTCCCCAGCCTCGCATTGTAGATTGGGACGCTGAAGCATAGAGAAGTTAAAGTAAACAGACAGGAGGGGTGTGAGCAGGAATCCAGGCCTGTTTGGAGAGATAATATGACCCTCAGTGGCTCCCACCCACCACAGGCTTCTGCAGTGGGCACAGCAGGGGCTGAAATGCAGCAGGTGAAAGGACTGACTCATAAACCCCAGATTCCCATCTGACCTCACCACTCCCATCTTCCCTTTGGTCTGTCTGATTATCGTGTACCGCACAGCTAAACGACTGACTGAATTCCACCCCCCGTCTAGTGCTTTCCTTGTATAGAACATTCCGTGGTTCCCAGGCCCATGAGAAATGCTACCATCTCACCCCAGGGCCTATACACTCTACAAAATCTGACCCCTGCAACTTCTCTGACTTGATTGTGCCTGTGTTCCCTTCACTAATGAAACTCGAAGTCACACGAGCCTCCTTCCTACTGGGTAAGCTGTTAGGACACCGGTTCCCACCTGGAATGTTGTCCCCTCCTGTGACACCCTCTTCCTTTTTGCAAAAAAAAAAAAATAATAATAATAATAATAATAATAATAATGTGGTTAACCATACCCAAGCTTTGATTTGGACCCAGCTGTCCTAGGTTAGGATTTTGACTCAGCCATTTATTAATTAAACATTTGTCTTCTTTGGACCTCGGTTGCCTAGGCTAGGAAATGGGCTTGCCTTGAGAACTCTGGAGACAATGCGTGTACCGGGCAGCTGGGAGTCACGGTTTCCTGGTTTCTCACCCTCTTTGACCAGAGCTCCTCAAGCTCAATGGAGCTGGCCACATCCCAGCCACCTCTGCTTCCAGGAACTTCCTCCACCTACAGGGATCTGAATGCACCCCTTGTGCCAGCTGAGTCATCTTGTAGCCGGCTAGCCCTGAGGAAGAGGACTCTTGTCCACTGGGGGCCTGGGCCAGGTGTGGCCCTGTTCCAAGCCCCTCTTTGTTTATCTGTAGGTAGGCACGAGAACAGTTTTTGGCCTCACCTGGTGACCGAGAGGTTGCCCTGTGCCAGATATGGTAAAATGCTGGCAGAGATCAGGTATTCATGAAGAGCAGGGAACCCTGAGCAAAAGCTTGACAGGAAGAATGGGATCAGATGGTGCCAAGTGGGCAGCTGCCCCAAGAGGACAAGCTTGTGCAAGTGCCTGGTGCCCAAGCCCAGTGAGTGAAGAGTTATGGAGGACTGGTTGGCTAGGGCATCCTGCTTCAGGAGAGAACGTTCCTTGACAGAGATGAGGAGATAACTCAGTAAAGTGCTTGCCATGTAAACACACAGACCTGAGCTTAATCTCCAGCCCCCACATAAAAGAGCCAGGTGCGAGGCTGGGGAGATGGCTCTGTGGGTAGAATGCTTGCCTAAGGACCTGATTTTGGATCCCCAGGACTCAGGTAAAAGCTAGCTATGGCAAAGCGTAAGTGTAATCTTAGCGCAGGGGTAGGTGATGACGTACAGACAGCTCCCTGAAGCTCACTGGCAAACATTTTATTGACTGAGCCATCTCTTTAGCCCCTCTTCCACCTTTGAAGAGCCTGTGGCGTAGGGTTTAGTCTGTATTATTTTCTCAGGAGTTCCTCATTTACTTGCTTTCCTGTTTCCAAAATGTTATTGCTAGCCAAAAATGGTGAACTCCGGGTTCGGCGGGAGTGCCAGGCATGGTGGTGCACGCCTTTGATCCCAGCATTCTGAGTGGCAGAGGCAGGCAGACCTCTGAGTTCAAGGCCAGCCTGGTCGACAGAGCAAGTCCAGGACAGCTAAGGGCTACACAGAGAAACCCTGTCAAAAATAAATAAATAAATAAATAAATAAATAAATAAATAAATAAATAAATAAATACAGAAAACAACAACACTGGATGCTTATACACACACACACACACACACACACACACACACACACACATACATAGTATACACATACCATACATGAGGGTTGGGAGGAGAAAGAATATTTCTTGAGGCAGACTATTTAAGAGTAAGGCAGCTTGGGTAGTGCCCACATCAGCTTCTAGCCAAGAAAATGCCAGCACCTGCCTTTGTCCACTCTGTATTCGAAACTGGTTGAGCTGAGCCTGCCTGGGTTGCCAGGAGCTCCGACTCCCAGCCCCACTGATAGGAACAAGGTCATTGGCAAGTCTTGAGCCATGGAGAGGTGCTGGCTGCTAGTACTGGGCAAGAATGAGGACTCCCTGTCTGTTCTCTGTTTGTTTCCGGGGTGCCCTGCCACCTCAGTCCCCAGGGTTCTTATTTAGATATCCCTGAGTCTTTCTCCACCCCCATCACATGACCTCCATCAGATGACCAAAGGTGCTTGAGTCTTTTGGGTCAATAGAGGACACTAGAGTGACCTGCAGGGGAAGTCAAGATGGAGTTATGACCCCAGAGGGTAGGCTGGTAGTTGGAACTGGGTGGATTTGAACTTGCTTAAGGAGGTGATTGTGCACACCTCCTCTTTTTAATTGTAATGATGCACTAGGATAATGTGGGCACAAGGAGTTTGTCTCCGAGGAACTGGGCCCTGTGCTGAAACCTAAAGGAGGAGTGGGCCAGTTGGTGAGCAGGGTTACACAGTTGGGAGAGGGTCAGGTGGAAGGAGCGGCAGGTGGGGCAGGGAAGGTGTGAGTGCTGGCTGGTGCCTGGGAGTACCCTACAGGATTTAGACGGGGGTAACCATGGCATGGTGGAGCGCGTAGGTGGATGTGTGGTGGGCATGAGAGGCGAGATCAGATAAGGTCAAGGGCTGCTGGAGTATGGCATTGCCAGTGAGATACTTAGGACATGCCCATGCTCTGTCTTAGGTGTATCTACACAGACTATAAGGTAGCATTCTGCTTGTCCCAGGCTAGAGGAAGCCCCTCATACATCCTTACCTCTAACAAGGTCCAAAGGGGCCGGAGACTGAGGTTTTGAAATCAGAGGCCACGAGGGGTCCCGAGCCAGGTCCCACTGATGCAAGGCCGCACTGGCCGGATTCTGAGGTTGGTAGAAATCTAGCCCACCAGGTCACATCTTAACTGTGCCAACCGTGTAATTTTTCTAACTGTAGGTTCATGCCGGGAGCAAAGCAGCCCTGGCTGCCCTGTACCCAGGTGACCTGATCCAAGCCATCAACGGTGAGAGCACAGAGCTCATGACACACCTAGAGGCCCAGAACCGTATTAAAGGCTGCCACGATCACCTTACACTCTCTGTAAGCAGGTAAGCATGGGCCAGAGAGGTTGGAGGAGATAGGACGGGTGCTGGCGGGCCTGTGAGCTGAGCAGATGCAGCCTTTCTGCCTCAACTCAGAGCATCTCATCCAGGCCCGAGCGAGAGATTGGTGCTGTCACGGGGCCTGAATAGCACAGGTTGGAGCTGGGAGCAGCCTTTACAATTCAGGGCTCAGAGTGCTTTGTTGCCCTTCTGGCAGCAGAAATAAGATCTTAAGCTGGGTGACACATACCTGTTATCCCCATACCTAGAAGGCTGAGATAGAAGAAGCAAGAGGTTAACCTGAGCTGCGTGGTGAGATCTTATCTCAAAACAAAAAACGCACATCAATCCTTTCCCCTCCTCCAAAGGACCAGTTTGATGAGTAGTTCCTCTCCAAACTAACCTCACAGTGTAAAACCTAGTGTAGGCCCCACTTTACAAATGAAACTAGCGAGGTAGAGGACACTTAAAGTCATATAATCAGGCAAAATATACATACGAGCTCTCGCCTTCTCTCCTCCCTCATTCCCCCTTCTCCCTCCCTCCCTTCCTCTCTCTCTTCTCCTTTAGTGGCTGCCAACCTTTCTGACCAATCCCACAGCTGTTCCGCCTCAACAGCTGACTTTACCAGGGCCCGTGATTCTGCTGTGGTTAAATATGGATTTAGAACAAGCTTTTCTTCCATGGACCATGTAGTGCTGTGCATCCCATCATGAAGGGATGAGGGTGGGGATGAAGGTGCTGAGATGTAGGCTCCAATCTCTGCCTTGCTCAGGCCCTGGCTCTTTAATCAGTTCCCACTAGCAGCTGGCTTAATTCTTGCTGAGTGAGATCTCTCCACCCGCCTTCCCTGCCTGGGCCGAGAGACAAAACTCAACTTTGCCACATTCACTGCCAAAAGGGACTTTCCACGACCCCCTGTAGCTCTGTGTGGACAAAACCACCCCCAAACCACAACACAGTTAACCCATGCCTGATCGATCCAATGACTCAGAGACTTTAAACATGATAAGAAGGGTTATAAGGTAGCTTCTGTTTGTGCCTGGCCTGTGACCTGATCGGGGTCAGGAACCTTGGCTATGCCCTTGGCTCTGAGCATCCCTGCTGAAAGTCTATGGTCCATTTGGCACACAGCAAGTACACCCAAGCTTCATCTAGACATGAGTTCCGTGAGCCCAGGTTTCCTTTCCCATACTCTCACTCTCTGCCAGACTGAGGCATGGCTGGTTAAGGAAAGCTTTGCCCGCAAGTAGCCTCTGAAGCCTCCCAGCTTGGCTGGGTTCCTGGGCCCTGACTCACCTCTGGCTTTGTTCTCTAGCTGAATGAGGGCAGCCCTAGGAATGGCGGAGCTGTGGGGAGACTCAAAGGGTCCTGAGTCAGGAGATTCCCAGAGAGAATGATGTCAGGGATGGTAGCGGGGTGGAGATCCCCCTTCCTTCCTTCCTCCCTTCCTTCCCTGTCATTTGTTCCAGTCTAGGCATGGATGGAACCAGGAGGCCACTGCCCTGTTGCATTTTGGGAATTACAGACTCTGAACGCCATGTGGCCATGGAACAGATGAGAGTGCCTGGACCAGGCCACAGGGCCACCTGCCTTCCAATGAGTGCTTTGCCTCCCACCCCAAACTTCTCCAGTCCCACATCAGGGGCTGCCTGGGGATCTTGACACTGAATAGTGAGGAGGTTCACTGAGGCTCACTCAGTCAGAATAAAACCAAGGCTTTCTCTCCTTCCACCATCTCCAGTCCTCCCTCACACTCCACTTGGTGGGGGCTGGAGGAGGGGGATTTAAAACATGGCCACCTAGACTAGATCCTCAGCCCAACCCTCTTTCTACTGGGCCCATCTACAAGGCTTCTGTCCCTTCACCCTGTCCAGTCCATTCCTCAGGGCTTATGCCTGAGCCCCAGACATGTCCTCTCCCCCTTTAATAGGCTCTGCAGGGGGTCAGCCTAATGACCTGGCTAGCGTGAGGGACTTGGCCTTCTTAGAACAGCTTCCCTGCCTCTAGTACCCTGCTGACTCCCCCACAGCCTGAGATATGCAGGAAAGGCCTTGTTTCCCTCTAGACTTATTTTACATGGAGCCTAAGTCAGGCATCCAAGAATTCAAGTCAGATCACATTGATTGGGCCTGTCTGTAGATCAGGACCTTCCTCCTGTAAAGTACAACTCTGCCAGAAATGGTCTCTATTGCCATCAGTTGGTACCTGTGCATGGCCCAACTTTTTGTGCCTCCTTTTGTTTTACTGGGCAACTGGAGTCACCTGCATAGCCCAAAGCAGAGCTCAATACATGACTAAGCCTCCATTTTTGTCTGACACCGTGGGTCAGTCTCACGACACTGGGTGCTTTGTGGCCTCTGACCTCACCCCATGTTTGGAAAGGTGTTTGGAAAACTATAAGGTAAATGGGCATCCCTGGTTTGTCCTACTGGAATTCAGAGTAGGTAGAGGACATGGTTAGAGCTATTTTAGAGGAGTCACCCAGGAACCCAGTTGGGTGGCTAGAGACAAGGCTGTGAGGGAAGGACTGGCTCCGGAAGACTGAGCAGAATGAAGAGGTGAGAGTACAGAGTCAGTGTGGATACAGGGTTAAACCACTGAGCCATTGAGCTGGGCGTAGTGGCACACGCTTCAGCCCCAGCACTGGGGAGCAGAGGTAGGTGGACCTCTGTGAGTTCAAGGCCAACTTGGTCTGCAGAGTGGTTTCCAGGTCACCCAGGCTTATAGAGGAAGACCTTGTCTCAAAAAAACAAAACAAAACAAAACAAACAAACAAAAAAACCCAAAACCCTGAACCAACCAAGGAGAGGAGGCAAGAGTGAGCTTTTACCAGAGTCATGAGACTTTCTGAGGCCCCAAGAGGCCTCTTGGTAAAAGGACATTATTTCCACAATCAAACCAGCCTTCTTATGCATGGCCTGTCAATCCAGGGTCCACACACCCTCCTGGCTTGCTTTTCATAGAACTGCTGAGTGGCAGGGCTGGGCCCGTAGCCTTTAGGCCTGCCTGTCCTGCTTATGGCAGGTTTACGATGTTTTTCTCCCTCCTGAGTGGTGTTTGGCTTTTGGTTTCTATGGCGAAGCAGGAATTTCCTAATGGCCTGTTTCCCATCTGGGCTGGGCAGGCATCAGTGATGACTCTTGCCTGAGTGGGTGGAGGCAGCAGGAGGGGAGGTGCTCCCCCACAGCCTCCATTTCACCTCCCTGAGAGCCACTCAGGCCCCGGCCAGAGGCTGTGGAGGTCAGAGGATGAACCGGACTGGCTCCTGGCTAAGCTAAGCCATGTGTGAGGTGTGAGGCCTGGCTCGCCTTGCTGTGATCTGAGCCTCCCGGAGTGGAGTCTCTGCTGGCTACAGTGAGGCAGGAGAGTGTCTGAGCTGAAAGGCCTCTCCTGCAAACTCTTCAGGAATGAGACCAGAAAAGCCACTGGCAGGAGGGCAGCAGACCTGAGCTCGTGGCTCCTTGCTTCGGCGCTATGCTAAAGGAGGGCGTGTTGAGACATCACCCCGCTCTGAGCCCCAAGCCTAACCCCTCCTGTCCCTGGTTCCCAGGCATCGATGTGGGGACTGGTAGGCAGATATATCTCACCACCCCAATTCCTGCTGCAGGCCTGAGAGCAAGAACTGGCCCAGCGCCCCTGAGGACAAAGCTCAAGCACATAGGATCCACATTGATACTGAGTCCCAGGTATGTACAGATACAGCTGGCCTGGCTCAGCTGGCTCAGGGTGAGCCCAAGGCAGAGGAGCCAGGCATGGCCCAGAGATTTCACCTGTACCGGTGAAATTCTCACATTGATAGACAGATGGCCAGGGCCTACTGAAGTAGAAGGTTCCTCTGGGACTTGCCTGCCCCTGTCCCTTGCTCTTGAGGGAATGAGCACCTGCAGTGGGCTTGTCCCAACTCCAAGTTATCCTGCGTTCTTGGCAAGGGTACCTGTGGCAGGCTGAGGCTGGGCTAGGTCTTGGCTCAGCGTTTCCACACAGGGAGCTAAGGTTTACTCCCATACCCAGAGATGCCGAAGGGGGTGAGGGGAAGAAATCAAGAGACTTGGAGAGAGATGGGGGTGGGGAGGCGGCAGCCTCAGGCTGTGAGGGATCTTAAGCTATGGCGGCTCCAGTCTTGCACCGGCCTTATGTATTCTGTCAGAGGCTGGAGAGGTTCTTTTTTTTGTATCACATACAAATCGCCGCTGCGGCCCTGTCCTCAGGAGAGTGAGGGAACCCAGCTGCTGCAGGATCTCACGGGACGGGGAGTGCGCCAGACTCGCATACCTAGGCCTTGCTCCACACCCATGGTCAAGGTCAGTCCTGGGCTAGTCTGCGCTGTAGCTGGATCCAGAACCTGCAACATGGGAGGTGTGGCTTCCGGACCTGCTTTTGTCTGCTCTCGCTATACAAAAGGAAAAGGACCAGGGCAGAGAAGAGGTTTCAACAAGAAGTCAGAGAGGTCTCCCAGAGGAAGGGTATCCAAGCCCAAACCCTAGGACCTAGACAGAAGGGCGTGGGAAGAGGAAATGTACTCCGGGAGCACTTGCAGACCCGTGGGTGAGTGTGCCACAGGGTCAGAGGTCAGAGCAGTGACTGGGTACGGTTGAGGGAGGCACAGGATGAGGTGAGGCGCAGCTACCAAGAGGCTCTTAGGTCCCTTGTCCCGGACTTCTGCTTGTCCGGGGAAATGCCTGCATCTTGGAAGCCTGCTTTGCTTTATCTGAGGGCCTTCAGACAGAGAGAAGAGGCCACACCTGGCAGAAAACGCAGGCAGCAAGGAGCAGGGGGTGGGCAGCTCCTGTGAGGCACCAGTGCTGAAAGGACAGGGCAGACGTGGTTGGGAGTCACCAAAGGCTCAAGACCAGTGGGTTCCGAGGACCAGAGGCCACCAAGCAGCTCCCCTAGGGGCTTGGAAAGCTGGGGTGCAGAATGGCTCCCCTGTGGGGCTCGGAGGCTGAGGCTGCACAGAGGCTTCCAAACAGGGTCAAGCGGCCAGGGCTGCAGAGCGGCCTCTCCCGCCCCCATTCTTTTCCTCCCAGTCTCCTTCAAAGGCCAGCAGGGATGGCCCTTACTGTAAGGGGAGTGAATTTCCACAAACAACAGAGAGGTCCCCCAGCTGCTCCCCCCCCTTTGTACTTAAAAGGTCGTAGGCTCCATGGGTGGCGACAACAACACCCTCCCCGCCCTTGCAGGGCTGTGTCCCCAGGAGCAGACACAGGGCTCATTGTCCCCACACTGCTCCCACCCTCTGAGTGTGGGGGTGGAGCTGGCTGGCACCATCTGAGGAGGGGGAAACCACACTTAGCCCTAGGCCAACACAGGGCACCGTTGGCATGCATCCCCAAGTGGAACCGAGCCTTAGGACCACAAGACCACAGAAGACCCTCTTTTCTCATGGCCCGAGTGGAATAGAAGGACCTCGGGCCACCCAGGGAGGGAGAAGCGTAGCACTAGGAGAGCTCTCTGGAGTAGGGGGGCCTTGAACACCCAGACCGAGAGAGAGCCACCTGTTCCTGTGGCTGCAGTGTTCATCTCTGCTCACAACGACTATCCCATGTCTGGTCACGTCTTCATTGACACCCTTCTGAGATTTTAGCAGGCTTACCAGTGCCAGGCTGGAGCTCAGGGCGGGGAGCCTAAGGTATGTGCACGCTGCCGCCCAAAGAGAGGAAAGGGCGCGCAGGGGTTCCCACCAACAGCCATCCAGCCCGACAGCACGGTGTGTGCTTGGCGTGTAGTCCGTTCTCTTCATCCTCTACCGAGGAGCTGTGACGTGGAGACCGCCACATTCTCCAGTTAGGGGAAGAAACGGGTTCAGAGAGATGGAAAAAGTGCACCAGTGAGTGATACAACTGTCACTCACACACACACTGAGGTCACCACTAGAAAAACTGCTGCATGGGTGGCCATGGGAGGGGCCATAGCTCACTAATGACCCTGAAGTCAGCTCCCACACCCTGCTGGGTTGGGGGTGAGTGAGGACCTCCATCCTTCCAGTCTCTGGTTCCTGACTCCCTCTTTTTCTGTTGAAGTTTCATGCAGAGCCCAGCCCCACCCCCCTCCCCAGTCCTACCCCTACCTACCACAACCCATCTGGTCCCCATTAGAAGCCAGCCCTGCCTGCCTCCCTGTCTGCCCTGCGGACGCGTGTGTAAGAGCGCTCAGGTTTCTAGGGGCTTTCGTTGGGCCTGATGGGGGACTGGGGTCCCGCTGCTGTTGTTGTCGCCACCATAGCAGCGTTAATGGGGGGGCCCTACTTGGCCAGCAGGCCTCGGGCTGTTGTTGGGATCTGGGGAGGGGGCTCCTACCGAACTGATTCTGTCCTGCAAAGATCAGGGGTAATTAAGGCAGAGCCTGGCACACTTGACTGTTCTGGTGCTAGAAGCTGCCTGAGTGCCCAAGCTGGTCTCTTTCTTGCTAGGAAAGGTTTCCTTTCCTCCTCACCCAGGCTCTCTGGCCACACTGCAGAGCAGGAAGGCATATATACATATGATATATACATACATACATTCTCTATATATACATATGATATCATATGTATATATATATATAGAGAGAGAGAGAGAGAGAAAATGTCCCCATAGATTTAGGCTGAGACACACTCACAGCCCAAACTTGAACTTTATCCCCTAAATGAGGCTACTTCTCCTGCCTGCCCAGGTTTAGCCACAAGGCCTCCCTCAGGATGATCAGCAGTAACAACCCTGCCTACATGAGTAGGATATGTAGGGAGACTGGCTGCTGTGTGTGTATTGTCCTTACCCACGTACGTGTCTTTAAATGCACTTTTAAGAGTATGTGTGCCCTGTTCACATTGCTGTGGGTGTGCCTGCGCGCCTGTGGGCTGAGGGCAGCACAGCTTTGGACTCTGCATAGACACAGGCACCCAGACGCTGTTCAGACCCACACCACACTAGGTCACTCTAGGGGTGGTGGGGCCCAGTCTCTGCTCCTTGTCTTGCTCTGCCCCAAGAAAGCTACCTTTTGTAGCTTTCCTGAGAAGCAGGGATAGGATGCAGGTCCAGAGGAGCTGACCTCATGGTAGCACCCCTGCACCTCAGACTTCCCTCTGAAGGGCCTTCAAGAAAGCACTAAGGGCCTTTTCCGACTATAGGAAAAGAGTTTCTTTTTGTATTTTTAGCCGTGGATCCCTTTTCTGGCTGGGCACAACAGCCTGGAAGGGTCAGGGCAGAGGTAGCTAACCAACATAGAGACCTGGCATAGCAGGGTGGAGGAAAGTACATGTCAACAGGGACAGCCAGAGGTCAGAGGGCTCCTAGGGCTGTTACCATAGCCTAGAGGTCAGAGCAGTGCTCAACAGAGGACATAGAGAACTGGCATAGCAGGGGCAGGAGGAGAGTCAAAGGTCCTCAGGGCCTCCTAGTACCCCCAGGCTTCACCCTCACAGGATGGCAGTCCAGTGACCAGCAGGCGATCCTCAGTCTCTGGGACAGGGCTGGAAGACAGCAGATCAAGCCTGGGATCCCCGTATGGCCAGCCACCTCGCCTTTCCGTCCCTCACAATGGCAGCGGCAACGAGGCCACCCTGCCAGCCCAGATGAACGCTCTGCATGTGTCTCCACCCCCCAGGTAGGACAGAGGCCAGAGCCTTTGAAGCCACACACAGATCCATCGACCCCCTTCACATCTCAGACATTCCCATCCTGGCCCTAACGCTCCATCTCAGAACCTCATTTCTATAGGCTGCCAGAACCAAGGCCGGGATTGCCACACTGGCCTTCCATCTCTCTCCTTCCCAGTGCTGACACAGCCAGGGTTCTCCCTCGGAACCGGGACTGCAGGGTGGACCTGGGCTCAGAGGTATACAGGATGTTAAGGGAGCCGGCGGAGCCAACAGCCTCGGAGCCCAAGCAGTCTGGATCCTTCCGCTACTTGCAGGGAATGCTAGAGGCTGGTGAAGGTGGTAAGACTCCCAACACCTTACCTCCCCGCCTCCCCTCTCCCTACAGTGCTCAGCTCACCCCCACCCTTCCAACCCAGCCGATCCACATCTTCCAACCAGCTGTCTCTCCTCAGCCTTTTTCTGTGCCTTCACCAAGCCTTCGCCTTCTGATTTCCACTCCACCACCTTGTGGTTCCCCCTTACCTCATATCAACCAAGTGCTTCCTCTCCAGGCTTCTGGTCGCCACAGTCCAGAAGCAGCATCCTGCTGAAATGGGGGCTCTTAGCTCTCACCTACCCCGTTTCATACTAGCTGCACTCCGGATTTCAGGGGAACGGCCTGGGTCTGGTGGTCCCCGGAACCTCAAGCCAGCAGCCAGCAAGCTCGGCGCTCCGCTGAGTGGCCTGCAGGGCCTACCAGAGTGCACTCGCTGTGGCCACGGGATCGTGTGAGTACCCGCCCCGCCCACCTGCACCGTCCTGACTCCACTTCCAGGGTCCCAGATGGAGGCTTGTCCTAGAATCCGTCAGTCACCTGTCCCTCTGTCCCCCCACAACAGGGGAACCATCGTCAAGGCGAGGGACAAGCTCTACCATCCCGAGTGCTTCATGTGTAGCGACTGTGGCCTGAATCTCAAGCAGCGCGGGTACTTCTTCCTAGACGAACGGCTGTACTGCGAGAACCACGCCAAGGCCCGAGTCAAGCCGCCAGAGGGGTACGACGTGGTGGCCGTGTACCCCAACGCCAAGGTGGAACTCGTGTGAGCTGGGAAATCTTATCTCACCCCTGCTTCGTTTACTGTCCCCTCATGGCCCGTGTAAATATATGTCCTCTTGGCCTCTCTAATAAAGTCCCTCTGCTTGCCCTGGAACCAGCTGGCATCTGGCTTAATGGCGTCTAGTACAGGCCGCAGCTCCAGTGCGCTGTAAGATCAGTTCAGGTGCTGGGCTTGTTCTAGACACTAGCTTCAGTGCAGAGCCAGACAGGCCTCGTGTTGTTTCCACAGCTTAGGTTGGATAGCAGACTGAGTCAGAAGGGATGGCTTCATTAACACTGGAGCTGCAGTGTAAGGAGGAGCCCGGCTTGAGTGAGGTCAGGAGAGATGGATGCTGAGAACAAAGCATAAGGAAAGCAAGAGGTCTCTACAGAGCCAGGAACTATTTGAAGCTAAATGTGGACCATGACGGCTCTGGTGTGCCTCTTGTCTGCGTGAGTGGTTGGATGGTCCCTAGAGACCTCCATGGATGGCGCCCACTTCCTGGTACTCTCTTTTCCTGTGTTCCTTTCTGTGGGCACACACTCATCACCAGCACCATTTCTCTCCTCCTCTTTCTTCATCCTCCCACTAGGGGGCAGACTTGATTGTTCCTTGAGACAAAATGCAGCATCTTGGAAAGAACACTTCCTTTCCCTCTAAGATAGCTGGTCCTTTCTCCACCATCAGTAGAAACTACACTCCTTGGATGCTTTCCAGTTCAGAAGTGGGCTCTGCCATGAACCCTTTGGTTACATAAACCTATTCAAACTCACTTTCAAAAATACAAAAGTTACAAGGGTTGATGAGTGACTGCTGACAGCCATGTTTTGTACAGTCTGGAGAATAATCTACCCGAGCTATGTTTTCAGTTTTGGATGAGTGAGTTTATTAAACGTACAGTAAGGTAAAGTAAAAGAACCGATGTCAGATGTATGGATGGTTAGAAGCGGAAACAAAATCAACCTGGCACTCAAAATGTCCAGCAGGAATTGACTGAGGAAGGTCCTCTAAGGCAGTCCGCTGGAGTTTCTGATAAAGAAAGCTTCCTTGGGTGAGGCTTCCTGATAAAAGGACAAATAGCAGCAGATGGAGATGACATCGTCAGACAGACAACCCCAACATCCAGCAGAAACGGACTGGGAAAGCTGAGGCAGCAACTGAAGTTTCTGAGTGAACTCTGAGCTTCAGCTCCTCCTGCTCCAGGTACTTTTATACCCTGGGATAAACACAGGTAAGGCCTGGTGGAGGTGCCCCGCCAGCTCTTCTCAAAGACACAGCGTTCTCACTCTTGGGCTGTTTTGCTGTTCTCACCTCCGTGTCACAGAGTTAGAAGGGCAACCCATACACAGACGGGGGTCTTAGAAAGTACTTTGATTGGGGGGTGGGGGAGAGGAGATGGCTCAGTGGTTAAGAGATCTGGCTACTCTTCCAGAGGACCCAGGTTCAAGTCCCAGCACCCACACGGCAGCTCACAACTGTCTGTAACTCCAGCTCCAGGGGACCTGCTTCCTCCCTGTCTCCGACACCAAGTGTTTTTCACACGTTTCTCTGTGGTAAACAAAGCGCAGCAGGCAGGAGCGTCGCGTTTCCTTTGCACTGATGATGAATACTGTGCACGGGAGGCCTGCCACTGTCATTTCCTGCGTGCTCGCTGCAGGTCGGTGCTGAAGTAACAGCAGGGAACAGTGTCCCTTCTCTCGCTCCCTGGAGTAGTCCACCGTGTGTGTGAGTGTGTGTTTGTGTGTGTGTGTGTGTGCTCGTGTGCACGAGAGCGTGTGTGTTACATTGCTTTTTGTTTTAGTGTGTGCACAAGTGCTTCCTCTATTGCTTCCCTACCTGAGACAGGCTCTCTCACTGGCTCAGTGAGACCGGGTTGCAGGTCAGCTCCCGGGTTCCTCCTGTCCCAGCCTCCCCAGCACTGGGATTACAGGTGTATGCCACCATACAGGAATTTTTACATGAGTGCTGAGGGTGGGGTGGGGTGGGGATCTGGACTCAGGTCCCCTTTCCCGAATGAGCCGCCTCCCCAGCCCCTTTCCCTACTCCCCTAAGAATATTTGGGGCTGGATTTTATTCCTCTAATCCATTTGCTGTTCCTGTGACATCACATGGCTTTAACCATGAGGGCATTAGAGTTTAACAATTAATCTTTCCACCTCATTCCTCCTCTACAAACTTGTCAGAGGTGCTCCTGTTCATGTCCAGTAGTCAGTGACTAGGTGTGCTGTGCTCTGGGAAAACAAACACCTCTGAACCGTGACTGGGGAGCTCCCTGGATCTAGAGAGAGAGTGGGCATAGAGATCTTTCCTCTAGAGACCCCCTTCACACCCTCAGAAAGTCAGTAGTTATATCTCTGTGGCCCCCTTCTATTCTTGAGCCTCGGGTACAACCTGCTTTCTCCTTGAGCCCAGCCTGGAGCTCTTTATGTCCTACCAGACCCCAGAGGGTATGGGCGGTCTAGGGTTAGCACCTGTTCTTGCACGTACATATGTGCTTTTACACACACACACACACACACACACACACACACACACACACACACACACCTTTTCCCTCTGCTGTCTTCATCCTCACTCCAATTCCTATAAGCAAGTCCTGGAAAATGACTGCCCAATTCCTACACCTCCAACCTTAGTTCATCTATTCACTAAATACTGACCAAGAACCTCCCGGGTACTGAGCATGTTATTAGGAAAACATTTCAGACGAACAGAATAGGAACACAAGCTGGGGCTGGAGTTGCAGCATCACAATAGGGTGCTTGCCTAGCACATACAAAAACCTGGATCCAATTCCCAACACTGCATAAAATTGGGGGGGTGGGAAGGACACCTGTAACCCCAGGTTTGGGAGGGAGCATGGCAGAAGAAGACTCAGAAGCTTAAGGCCATCCTTGGCTATGTAGCAAGTTCTAGGCTAACCTGGGCTATCTGAGATCCCATCTCACACACCCAAAAGTACAAACCATCAACAGTAATATGAAGGAAATTCGGTCATTCAATGGAACTTTATATAATTTGCTTTATGCTTTATATGAGGGGTCTGGAAAGCCCTCATGGAGCAGGTGACCCGAGCAGGGACCTGAGGTGGGGATGAGCACCTGTTGGCTAGCATTGCCGACGGAAGGAGCAGGAAACGCAAAGGGCAAGGGCAAGGGTTGTGCTCCTGTGTTCTAAGAATAGTGAACGAGGTGGCTGCCTAGCAGATGAAGTCAGAGCGAAGCGGGGTGGACGGGATAACTGTGTTGACCTTGTAGGTCTTGGCAAGGATTTTTGGCTTGTGCCCCGAGATGGGAAGCCAGGGAGCTGGCATAATCTGGGCTTACAGTCTAAACAGGATGGCTCCAGCCACAGTGGGAAGACTTTAGTGTAAGGGGCAAAGGTGAAAGCAGGAAGGGTGACTGCGTCCATCCCTGACTAATTCCTAACTCGCCCGCACCTCCAGTCAAGGTCTCAGCCTGGCCTGCCCAGGCTTGCCTGTCTCCAGGCCTCTCCTCGGTTGTTTCCCCACGTAATAACAAAAGGAAGTTTGAAAATGGCAGTTACTTCTGTTAACTTCCATGCTTCCTCACTCCTCGTAGACAAAGTCTAAAACCCCAAACCCTGCTGACAAGGCCCGGTGGGGTCAGCCCTCCTATGCCCTGCGCACAGCGCTCTTGGATCACACAGTGACTCAATCTGTGCTAAGCATCAAGCCCCCTACCCCAAACTCTCCCATGAGTCCTTGATCTTTTCAATTTCAAACCCAATCTTTCCTTCTGCTTCTCTGAATGACTGACAGGCTTTATTTTCTTCCCTTACTCCCCGAGACCTGCTGTGCTTCCAAGGATGAACTTGAGCTCCTGATCCTTCTATATCAGATGCTGGGTTATAGCCGGGTACCACTGTACCCAGCTCCCTCTAAGTGACTCAATGGAAGAAGAACCTAGAAAAAATGCTTGAGGGTACTTGGGAGGTGTATGTATTAAGCAAGAGCTGTCCCGTGTCCCTTTGCCACTGTAAAGAGCTGTGAAATCAGACCTCATCTTCACTAGTGTCTGACCATTTAGGACTGTAAGGCCGAGAGGCCTCAGTGGTTCCTACAGGGCCCAGGCTTGGCCTCAGCCATGTGGGCTCAGAAACCCACTATAGAGGTAGCCAGTGAGTATGTCTGTCTCCCTTGTCAATCGGAGACTGGGACTCAGAGCCACTTGCTCCTCTTCTTTACTGACAGAAGCAGCAGTGGACAGACAGACACTCAGCTCCTTTTCTCACCTGTAGGCACACAGGAAGCCAGCACCCAGCCACAGACTCAAAGGAAGCAATTATATGGATGATCTAACTATAATGGGGTTGACGTGCTCCAGGCCTTCCTGCCAGCCAGGTTGTGTGAGCTCAGAAAGGCTGATAGACTTGTCATGGTCCCACACCAGCTAATCTCAACAGCGAGAAAAACTAGGACAATTGCATGTTTCCTCCTGGAAGAGTACTGCTTGCTCCACTAACTGCCAGGAAAGTCGGGGGCGGGGGTGGGGGAAGGAGCCGAAATGGCAGCTGGCCAGCTGGCACTGCAATGTGGGGTTTAAGGACCACTAGGACATGGAGGGAAAAGGTGGTAAATCCCTCCCCCTGCCCAGAGGGGACATTGATTGGCCCAGCAGATCTTGCTTGTCTACCAGAGAGCTGACAGTCTGTCTCTTCCTTCTCTCTCACTTCCAGGTTAAGCCTTTGTGAGGAATCAAACACAGCAAAGAGGCAATAGAAACCCTCTAGCCAGGGCTACTCCCTGGCCTGGATGGAAGGCCTCTAGTCTTCTGTTTGGACCCTGACAGCCCGCTTGGGTGTTGAGGGGTGGGGCTGTCTTTTTTCTCTTAAAACAAAACAAAACAAAAAAACATGACAACAGGCAATTAAGAACCACTAGGGTGGCTGCTGGTGTCCTAAGTTTAGGGCTCTATGGAATCCCCCATGCTGCAAAGCTCCAGAACGTTCCTTCCTGCCCAAGGTGCTTCTATACTTTTGCTTATCATGGGGAACACCTTATCACATCAAAAAGAATCCCAAATCAGAGGGCTGAAGTGACACTCAACTTGTCAACTGGTGACAAGAAACTTACCCAAAGAGAAGCCACCTTCTTTTCTGTCCATTATGGCTGCCATCAATCCATGGGTGGGTCCCTCTAAACTGGGCCCAACCAAGGATGCTTCACCCCCACCCCCACCCCCATCAGTTGTCTCTGATGGGGGAAAAATGTTCTGATGACCATCCCTTTACAAGCCCAGTGGCTTTAGAAAAGGCAATAGAAGAGACTTGCAAAACAATTACTTCCTCTGTCCCAGCAGCTCGCTCTGGCCACACCAAATCTGCCATATACCCTCCTCTTCCTCCTAAGCCATCATTCTGCAGGTCACCTCTCCCTCAGCCCCTCCCACCACTATCAAGCAGCTTTGTATACCCGGGACTCCACTGTGAGTGGAGATCCAGGCATTCCCATTTAATGTTAACCCCCCCCCCAAGGTAAACCTCTTAATTGGTACCCTTGTCAGGCCGGAGATTTAAAAGCGCTCAGACAGGAGGTAAAGAAGACCGAATTTAGAATTCACGTGCAGTGGGCCAGATCTCTTCTCTGAAGTCAGATGACCGCCTAGGATTGGCGAGACATTTGTCGCTCTCCTCTCGCTGGCCCACTTTCCCTACAATGGGAAACTCTATACAGGGATGAATGCCTCCAGCAATTCAGGTGAAATCAGGGCCAAAGCAAGGTCACATGGGAGTAGGATGAACTTTTTGGCCAGGGAGCCTTTTCCACAGGAGCCCAACAGTCAACTCAGCCAGCAGGGTACCATGATCAGGTCCATCTCTCCTCTCTTCAAGCCTGGGACGTGGCTTACAAAGCCCACCTTCTGGCTTACAAAGCCCCAGCTCCTCCGTGCTCTTCCTCCACTGAAAGCAGGAAGAGGCTCTCTCTGACTTTATCCATAGAACAAAAATGAGCTTAGAAAGAAAAATTCCTAACCTGTTAGACAAAGACCTCTTTAAAAACGTCACGTGAGAGGGTATGGCTTCTGAACGTAGGCTTGCCTGCCAGGGCCTTAAAGATGAACGCTGATAGTTTGTGTCCACTCGGGATATTGGGACAACATCCCACCAGGCCGCTTCTATTGGCCAGGCCTTTGCAGCTGTGATAAAAACAGAAGGGGCTTATTTTAATTGTGGTAAGCAAAGGTACTGGAAAGACAAATGCCCTATGGGAGCCCCCACACACACACACCAAAAATGCCATCATCCCCACGACTGTCTGTCCTGATGCCGTAGGGGCTTTCACTAGAGGAAAAGCTGTCACTCTCATTATAACAAGGATAGCAAGCCACTGGAGCCTTTAAACTTAAAATGCTGCAGCCCTCAGTCCCAACAGTTAGAGGGGAAAACTGCTCCCATAAAAAGGCTTTATGGGTCTCCAGCATCTCAGAAGGCTCTCAGCCGAAAATCACTATGAAAATAGGTGACAAAACCATTCAAAGGCCTTATTGACACTGGAGCAGATAAAACCATTTTAAGACAAGAAGTCCCGCAAGGTTGGGAACTAATTCCTGGATCTCAGCTTTTGGGTGTAGGAGACTGCACTCATGCTTTTCCCCCCAAACAAGTGTACAAATGGGAAGACCCGGAGGGGTCCAAAGGCTTGATATGTCCTCTTGTGGTCAACATTGCCACCAATCCTCTAGGAAGAGATATTCTGGAAGCCCTGGAAAGTACCCTTTCTAGTCAGCCCAAAGAGAATTACAATAAATGACTGTAGCCATCATAAAAAACTTAAAATCCTTCCCCCGGGTTATCCCTAATTCTAAGGGCGGCTGTTAAAAATATAAAACTCTCTGCCTTGACTGGCTCTTCAATGAGCCTATCTGAGTTGAACAATGGCCTCTATCAAGGAAGAAAGTTAGTAAAATAATAACTCCAACTTCACCATATTTGTCCTTCCTGTAGCCCATGGAACACCTGTGTGTTCACTATTAAAAGGGCAAGGGAATGTCTTCAAGAACAGACCTCTTGAAAGGATAGTGAGATAAGTGGGGTGAGGGGCTTGTTGGGTGAGCATGAGGACCTGAGTTCAGATCTCAGTACCCAGACTTTTTTTTTTTAGGTCAAGTGTGGCTCTGGTCACATGCCTATAACATCCCCCCTCCCTCGTACTGTACAAAGTAGAAAGACAGGAGGATCACAGGGGCTTACTAGTCACCAGCCTAAGGCCGAGTTCAGTGGGAAGACCCTGTCTCCAAGAAATAAAGTGGAGAGCAATGAAGTGGGACACCTGATCCCCTCCTCTGTCCTCCACAGAAACCTATACACCTGCACATAACCACGCCCACAAACATACCATATGCACACAAAAGTAGACAAACACACAAACTTATATATGTACATATATACATATGCACACATAAATACACATGTATACATAAATACACATATATGCATATATGTGCCATCCCTTGGAATTCTATTTTAAGCCAGATACTGTTGGGCATCTACTTAATATCTAAAGAACTTCTCACATTGAGAGAAAATTCTAGAAACTGTCTCTAGTCCGAAGACTAATCTTTCTTAACAGGCAGGCAGACACTGCCCTTAAGGTTTTTGAACAACAGAAATGCGGCTACCCGGGAGAGAGAGAGAAAAGAGGGTTTTATAAGCAATCTTGGTGTTGGCAGCTGTCCTGCAGTTCCCATGATGTGACCCAGGAGGAAGAAAGAAGCCATCTGCAGCCAGCTCCTATGGCTTCTATCCTGAGACTTGTCACCCACTAAAGCTGGGACATTTTGCAAGCAGAAGTCCTTTCGCCAGCAAAAGGACTTCCCAAACTGTTCTGAGGGAGGGAAGGTAGGAACCAAACCAGTTCATTTCAGTCTCTCTCGAAAAGATAAAGACTAGCTGGACTAGTGCAAACCTTCAATCCCACCTGGCCCTCGGGAGACAGAGGCAGATCTCTGAGTTCCAGGCTAGCCTGAACTACAGTTCTAGGATAGTCAGGGCTACGCAGAGAAACCCTGTCTCAAAAAAATAAAATAAAAACAAACAGACAAAAATCAAAGATAAAGGCTAACGGGGCCAAGTGCCTCTCAGCCTCCCTTCCTTTAGAGCCATCCAGGTGTGCACCAAGGTGGCCTGGGTCACCTGGGAAATAACTGGCAGGGAAGCCGAGCTCTTACTGGACACTGCAGGTTGATTACCTAAAGAGGTACAATATCCGAAAGACAGTGTGACAAGGACTGGGAAGAGGTGAAGTTAAACCTTTTCTCAAGCCTCTTACTCATGCTGTGCATTCTTTTTTTTAAAATAAACATTAATTACATTTTGGTTTATTTACTTGGGAAGGGGCAGGCCATAGCACACATGTGAAGGTCAAAGGGCAGCTTGTGGGAGTCTCTCTCCTTCCACTTTGTTAGTCCCAAGGCTTGAACTCAGAGTGTCAGACTTGGCAGCAGTCGCCTGCCACCTCACCAGCCCCAGAGTGGGCTCTTAAGCGCCCATTTCTGTCTGTTTCTGGCTGTTCTGTTCCCCTCTTAGGGAGATGTCCTAGTTGGGTTTCTGTTGCTATGGCAAATATCGTGATCATAGAAACTTGGGGAGGAAGTGTTCAGCCTACACATCCAGATAACAGTCCATCATTGAGGGAAGCTAAGTCAGGAACTCAACAGGACCATGGAGGGGTGCTGCTTCCTGGCTTGCTCCCCATAGCTGGCTCAGTCTGCTTTCTTATATGACCCAGGACCACCTGCCCAGGGGTGGCACTGCCCACAGCAGTCAGTCTGGACCTTCCCACATCAATCATTCATCAGGGAAGTCCACCCACCCATCCATGCAGACCAATCTTATGGATGCATTTTTTTCAGCTGAAGCACCTTCTTCCCTGACGACTCTAGATTGTGTCAAGTTTGTGGCAAAACAAACAAACAAAAACAAAACCTAACCAAACCAGGCTCATGATCTTCCCCAGGGGTCATGCAGCTGAGCTCGTGGTGTTTCTCCACAAAATACTGTCAGTTCCTGAAGCTAACCTCTGAACATATCTTAGCTCAAGTCATGTGAAGCCTGAACACAGGGGTGAGAGGGACAAACTGTCAGCATCAAAGTTACCTTGGAACAAGCAAACAGCTAAACATGAAACCACAACTGGTGTCAGGGCTGTGAGTTGTGAGCTTTTAAAGCCAGGCTTGCAGCTGGAGAAACAGCGCAGCGGTTAAGAGCACTGGCTGCTCTGACAGAGGACCCAGGTTGGGTTCCCGGCACCCACCTGGCAGCTCACAACCATCTGTAACTCCAGTTCTGGGGGATCTGATGCCCTCGTCTGATCTCCATGGACACCAAGCATAAACACAGTACACATGTGAGAAAAAAAAATTCACACAAATAAAATCAAAGTAAATAAATCTTTACTGTTGTAAGGCTTAATATGCTTCTTCTGGTTTTCCAATGATATTTCCATTTTACTGGTTAAGAAAGTAGGCAAACTGTGGTTGGAGAGATGGCTTAGAGGTTAAGAACAGTGACTGTTCTTCCAAAGATCCTGAGTTCAATTCCCAGCAATCACATGGTGGCTCATAACCATCTATCATGAGATCTGGTGCACAGGCTGCTGTATAAATAAACTAACTAAAAAAAAAAAAAAAGAAAGAAAGAAACCAGGCACAGGAAAATACAGTTCGTATAGGGTCTGTGAGTGAGTGATCAATGAAATTATATAAAATAAGCCTACTTTTTCTAATCCCTATGCTTTGTTGGCAAATCTTCCTTGACTGATAAGTACAATGCTCTCCTGGATTTAAAAGGCTCCTGTGTCACCCTGGACTCTGAGCTATTTGCCTTCAAGTGCAGGAATCTGAGACACTGCAGGACCAGGTTCCCACCAGGATTCATGTTCTCCCAATAATGGACACGTCACACTCTCTGCGCTCAAGCTCAGGGAACAGTGAGAGGGAGAGGGCAGAAAGACTGTAAACTCCAGATGTTGGGGAGGACAGCTGTAAAACATAGACGTTGTAACGGTTTTAAACTTGTTGACTGAAAAGGGCACAAAGACTTCCAAGGAGAAGGCGCCACTATTTAAAGAAATGGTGAAACACCTGTTCTTGTTTGGTTTCTGTTGCTGTGATAAGCGCCATGACCAAGAAAGCAACTTGGGGAAGAGTTTATTTCCAGTTACAGATTGATGGAAGCCAAGGGCAGGAGCTTACAGGTTCATGGAAGCCACTCCTTGAATAAACTCAAGAGGTCGCTGATGAGTGATCCTGCATGTCTGCAGGACAAAAATAAGCCACTTGATTGAGATGCCCATGAGCAAGAAATTGCAGCTGGTGTATCGGTGCAGTTGCCGGGTCCCTTGAGGACAGATGTTTATTTCTCTAACCTACTAGTTGCCATGTGGTGGGATTGGCCGCCTTGTTGAGAATAGTTGCTACAACTTGCTTTTTCATTAAAGAGGCAGAAAAACTGGGGATCACTGACAGATCTGAAACCAGGTCTCAATTGTTCTTGAAACAGAAGGACATCTGTCTGAAAAGGTGGTAGACCAGAGTCTTTCCATCTGACTTCCAAGACCCTCACCCCCACCTGTGGGCCATGACCCTCCAACTGACCCTTTCACAGGGTTGCCTAGGACCATGGGAAAACATGGACATTTACATTATGGTTCATAACAGTAGCAAAGTTACAGTTACAAAGTACCAACAAAAATTATTTTATGGTTGGAAATTATCAACATGAGGAACTATATTAAAGGGTCTCAGCTTTAGGAAGGTTGAGAACCACTGTTGTAGTCCATGACTGCCTGGAAGGAAGTGGCTCACCATACTCAAGCAGATAAGACCTGCTGCAGGCAGCCTTTCTGAAAGGCTGGAAAGTGGTCCATAGAAACAGCAACGTGACCAAGAGTCTATCTGTGGCCACAGCTTCTAGACCATGGTGTGCCTAGGAGGTCAGTGAATCAGCAGGTGACCAAATGGTACCTGGCATTTGCTCTTCAGTCTCCAGGATATAGGCCAGTGCCCCGGCCCAGAACCTATTGTTTTAAGACAAAGCCAAGTATCTTTCTGGAAGAACCCAGTCAATGAAACCAAGAGCATGCACACACAAAAGTGGTTTTTCCCCCAGTCGCTTCCCATAAGAGATCTGTGGCTTTTCATTACAGGAACTCTGATGGAGGTGGAAGTGAGGGTAGGGGTAGGAGTGGGGACCCTCTCCTATAAAATGAGTCCCTATAAAAAAGAAAGTTTCTTGAGGTGTCCTATATGTAACTGCAAAGTCTAGGGGATGGAGAGATATGTCAAATAACTTTCCACCACTATAACAAAACATCTGAGGTGATTTACAAAGAGAAAAGGTTACTTGGACTCATAGTTTGCAGGATCCAATCCATGCTGATTGCCCTTAATGTTTTGGATCTGTAGCAAAGAACTAAAACTATGTTGTATGGGTGTATGGCAGAGCAAACACATTTACATCAAGCAAAAGGAAAACAGGAAGGAGCTCAGGTCCCTTTAAGAACACACACCCAATGACCTAAGGATCTCCTAAAGGTCCTGCCATCTTTCAACAGGCTACCCTGGGGTACACGTAGCCTGAGGGAAATGTTTAAGATCCAAGCTCTAACAAGGCGGGGAGAGATAATGGAAACAAGTCAGGTACTATAGGCAAAGCCAAAGAAAAGACTGTGTAGCTAGGGACATGCTCCATGGTTAACAGCGCTTGCCTTACAGAGGACCAAAGTTCTGTTCCCGGTCAGGAGGCTTACACATTGAATATAATTCCAGCTTCAGGGGAATCAGTGCCCTCTTCTGGTCTTCCCAGGCACCCTCACATATGTGCACATATACAGAATCACACACACACACACACACACACACACACACACACAAATAAATTAATTTTTAAAAGGTTATGTTAATGTTGACTTAAATCCCATCCTTGGCAACTCCCAGGTCCACTTTGCCTTGCTATGTGCAATCATTCTGGCCTGTTAGTCCTGCTTCTTCCTCTCCCATCCCAGAACCATAACGGGAGTTTTGGTTTCTTTGTAAACTCAGTTATGTTATGTAAATATGTTTTTGTTTTAATCCCAAGTGTGGGATTTTAGTTTGGGCTTTAGTTTGTCCACAGCTGATTGTTATCTCCTGCAGGGCGTGGCTTTTGCCAGCTGGTAATGGACTGCCACGTGCACCGAGGAGGAGGGGGTAGTCTAGGGCTCTGAGTATATAAAAGAGAGCCCAGAAAGTGAGAGTGGTGTGCGGTGTTCTGACCTTTCAGAAAGGTCAGAAGTGGTAGGCTTGGGATCATGTCTAAGCGGGTCAGAAGGGTATGCGTATCATGAGGTAGTCAGACACTACCTCAGCTGTGCCAGCACTCCTCCCTCTGCTCAACCCTGTGGCCTCCTGAGGTAGTTCTCTGCAGCCAACTGATGGGAGCAAAATATGCAACCCCTGACTCCCAGATGTATTCGCTTACTATGTCGATACTAGCCAGAAATCACTCTCACACATCTCAGGGGTGAGCTTAAGGAATGGTGGCGGCATAAGCCAAACCCATTTCTGATTCATTTTTGGGCAGAGGAAATGGGATGCTTTACATACCCTTGTCAACAATTGGCAAACCGCTGAGGTGACTGATACCTGCTTAGCTCACACACACACACACACACACACACACACACACACACACACACACAC